GTAGAGAAAAACGAAAGTAAGTTCAAGTCAGCCAAAATAAAAAACTTGGTCTTACATACAGAAGTCAAAATGCAGAGAAGTAGGAATCACTGGTGGCCTAGTGACAACAAGCTACACTGTCATCCCAAAAGCATGCGGTTTAAAACGACCAGATACTCCGCTGAGGAAGGAGGGGCAATCACCTCCTGTGCAACTCAGATCCAATTCAGCACACAAGTAAAAATTTAAAAAAAAGAAAATTGGAGAAGTGACAAAGTAAGAAGAGTTGACCAGATTTCAAAGGACAGCTGACCAGATTTCAAAAGATATCTTAAGAAGACGAAGCAAAATATAAAGATGAAATGTGCAAATTCAGCATAGTACCTACACTGATGACAGAGAAGGAGAAAATAAGAAGCATAGAGACAGTGTCACAGGTATTTACAATCTTCTAAAAATTGGACAATGGGTTCACTAGTATTTGCTTTGCTATTATATTTTATAACATATATAAAATTAAAAAACCGATGTCACTGAGTCTATTCCACCTCATAACAAGTTTCTAAAGCTTTCCATTTTTTTTTATTATTTTTGTGTGTGTATCATCAAATCAGATGTGACTGGTACAGGAGGAGATTGTTCCTCCTTCTACAGCAGAGCATCTGGTGGATTTGAACCATGCACCTCTGGGATTGCAGTGTAAAGCTTTAAATATTTAAGGACGGAGACTGTTCATCTTTCTCTCACCAAGTGGCAAGTTAGATTTGAACAACCAAACTTTCTGTTAGCTACCTAACTTGTAGTGCACTATAAGTCACCTCTTATGACCATCAAGTGGGAACTGACTAACAGCTGACCTAGGTGTCTACTGGGTTTCTGAGGTTAAGGGAGAGACTGCCTATCTTTCTCGCTTTGGGGCCACTGGTGGATTCAAACTGTCACTTTGGGTTAGTGGCTCCTCCTTATAATATCATATACATATATAAATTGCATATTGTATATAATTACATGTTTTTTTTAAATTAAATAGAAATGCCATTTGTGGGTCTTGCTAAAAATTTGCCTTCCTTAGGCCGTTGTCTTCAATCTGATACAGCTGCCTCAACTCGGTCCTACAAACACAATGACCTACCTCCAGCATCAACAGCAGAATGAGCCATCTCTTCCTCATGCAAATAGGGCATGTTAGTCTATACACAAGGGGACTGACTAGTCTCACCACTAAATTGAATGGATTCAACAGAAGAAAGTGGAGATCTCTCCACCAGGAGAAGACAAAGCACAGAGTGTAGGACACATCCTTCGGAGTTAGAGATTCCTGTGCCAGGGATTTGCTCTTGCTGTTAACTGAGAAACTCTGGATTGAAGGATTTTTATTTTGCTGTTAACTAAGAAGCTCTATAGACTGAAAAGTTGTGTGCTGCTATTAATGGAGAAGCTCTCTGGAATTAAAGATTGTATCTTCTTGTTTTGCTTTCATAAAATAATTCATTTACATTGTTTTTCATTCAAACACACTGTGTTCCATACAATCTCTCATTTACATTGTGTTTCATACAAAAATTCACATACACTATAGCCATATAATTAGTTACCACTGATCTATGCCTATTATTACACCATGTTTTCAAAACCCAACTGAATCTTTCCTGTTCCCCTCTCCCCGAGTCCACCCACTGTTGTTGCTGACTGTTGAGTTGAGACCGTGTGTGTGTGCACGTGTGTGTGTATATCTCGACCCAATGAACAAAAAACCTGAAGCCTTTCTAGAACTATAGTCATTTCTCCAAGTTCATAGAGTTTCCAGAGGCATGTGGTTTAGGAAGTAGATGCCACTCCTGCTTCCAAACCTGTCTTAAACTGGGAGCTCCACCAAACACTGTCCACCATGGGTAGCCATTATGGAATCTGACCCCCCCAATGGCACAAGGTTCAGCATCACAGCACACCTATATTACCTCAGTACAGCATATCAACAGAAGAACGCTATACAACTTAGAAAACTGTTCCTCCAAAATAAAATAACACTGGACCCTTGGGCCCAACTGACTTTTTTTTTTCTTCAATTTCCTTTTATTTCCATTCATTCACTGTTGCACTTTTCCCCCTGTCCACTCTTCCCCCTCCATTTCGTTCTTCTCTTTGAAAAGCAAAAGAAAAATTCTTTCATTGTTATACAATCCCTTCACCCAAGTCCACTCCACTATACAGCCTTCATTCTGGACTCATGTCATGACAGTAATACCTAATCATATATCCCTTTTAAACAGTTCTCTCTCTCATCTGTTTCAATGCAG